GATTTGTTTACCCATGACAGAGAGAGTTATCCTAGGCTCGGCCATCTCGATGTTGTGAAGTGGAGTTGGTTTTAAAGTTGGGGTCTGTTAGGCTGAAGTAGTCTCAGAAGGTCCATGAGTATGGAGGATGTCAGGTCAGAGGGGCCCACTGGTTCCGGAAGGCGAGTGTGTTCTCCTGTCTGAAGGAGAGGACAATCTCACTTTTAGTGTCCCTTCCTTTTGTAGAGAGGGCATGGTCTCAGCGGAGGCCTCCTGGGGCATGTCTTATTCCAGTGACCCTGTTGCTTGCAGTTGAATAGAGTTTAGTTCTCAGAGAAGAGTGTGGTCCTGGTGTCTTTTTGTCTGGGCCTCCAGGGTAACTCTGTCTCTGAAAAGTTTTTCTTACAGCAGTAGTCACCATTTGGAAAACTTTTTTCTGTTTTAGGGCCGCTATTGGTCCCGTTCCCTCTTTTTTTCTCTCCTTTCCTCACCCTGGTAAAGACCTTGAGGACCAGGTCTAAAAGTTTTGTTTGTGGAGTTTCAGGCCTCCTTTTTAAGTTTTTGGTGTTTTCATTGAATATTGGGGGCTGACTGGGAGGTGGAGTGTATTGTTGGGATAGATTGTCTCTCCCTGGTACCAGGATCTAAGTTAGTAAAGAGGTGAATGGTCTTAGACAGTTGTGAAAGAAAAAGGGCTGGATTTTCATCCTGGCTCTGAGTAATTTATAATGTCTTTTGACCCAGCAACCTCCTGGAGAGGGAGCTGGTGCACAGGTGGGGAGGGATTTTGGAACATCTGCCTGGAGCAAGTGTGGCCGGGTGAGAGTGGTGAAGAAGAAGAAGAGGAAGGAGAGGGAGAAGTAGGGGAAAGTGTATTGAAGGAGCAAGGTGATATGGAGGGGGAACAGGGGAGTGAAGACAGTGGGAGAGATGTAGCAGTAAGAAGTAATGTGTGGCAGGCGAAGCGAAGATCAGGATGTCTTGCAAGTTCAAAGAAAGCCTAAACATAGGGGACTTCAGACCGCTTGTCAAGCCAGCGGCAATAACAGGTCTAGTTGTATTAATAGAATGATGCTATGATTAAGGATTCATTTTTGGGCCAGATCTCCTGGTCATCTAGTTTACATTGTGCCCAGGCTGTATTGTAATAGAAAACTAAACGTTTGGGCTGAAGGTCGATAAGTCCCACAGTTGTCACATTCTTAAGGAGACATCCCAATGGGGAGTCTTTAGGAGGGGCCAACTGAACATTGACCATGGCGATAATTAGGAGAAAGAAAAAGGGAAGGACTTTAGGGATGGTTATACATTGAAATACTGAGAGTTTGAGAGGGGTGTTCCCCACTAGGTGACCTTTGGGATGTTGATCAGACACTGGGCATCTCTGAATCTGAGTCAGACTGAAACCTAGGGTGTTGGCCAGAAAGTGGGCATCTCTGAGTTCTGATCCAGACTGAAACCTAGAGAGGAGCTTCTCCAAAGCCAGGCGGCCCTGGGTCTGGGTGAAGTCTGGGAGGGGGTGGATAGGAGGTGTCTCTCCAAGGCACCCCTCTGATAGTGGCAGACCTGGCACTGGGGTTTCCACAACCACAAAGCTGCCACTCTTTCCCGAGTATATGACCATTTCCAAAGTCCTAGAGTCTTACTGAGTTCTGAATGGTATTGAGGGCATCGAGAAGGATGTCCTGGGAATTGCACAGCAGAGAAGGGACCAGTCTCGAGACAGAGGCAGAAACATGAGTTCCCCGTACAGAGGTAGAGAAGTGACTCCCTGAGTGGCCACCAGTGTCAGAGTGGAAACTCATAGTGCAGGATGAGAAAGAATTCTTGACACAAAGATTAGGATAAAAAGAAGTAAAAAGTTGATTTTACTTTCCCCAAGAGAGAGGAAAGGACAGGACATGAAAGAAAAAAAAAGAGTGCTGGCCTCAAGGATAAGAGGTTCAGGGTTTTTATTAGGATAAAGAAGAAAAAAAAAAGAATAGTTATTGCTGCCAGCTGATAACAAGACAGCTGTGAAGCAGCTGCGTTTGTTTTTCCTTCTCTGGGAGCTGGCTTATCAGGGTCTTTGGGATGCGGTCTGGCGAATGGGGGAGGGAGCTGGCACCCCTGCTGTCTGCTTGGGAACTCTTCAAGTGCTGTTAAAACAAATTCTCAAAGACCACAATTAAGCCACAGGTTGTTAATCTTAAAGACAATGAGTTAAGCCACAGGTGATTAATCAAAGGGGCAGTTATGTGCTGTGATATTTCTCTCTTTTTCCTATTAGATAGTTTATTTTTCTTCATTAGATTGTTTATGAACAATGTTGTTCCTTCAGTGCGGTGTACAGACTGGGGAGAACATGGAGAAAGCACAAGTTTGAAAGACGAGCTCTTCAGTGCCTTTGGACATACCGAGTTTGAGGTGCCAACAGGGCACGTAGGTGGAAATGCGCAGGAGACAATTGGAAATGTGGGCCTGGGTGTCACAGACAAGTCCAGGCTTCTGCTTTACAGGTGAGTCACCTGCATGACGGAGCTGGCTGACGCCATCACACTGGATGAGAACAGAGGCGGTTTCCAAGGGAGCAATAAAAACTCAGGGGAACCAGGCAGGTATCTGAAGAAATCCTGATTTGGGGAATGGGGGAAGGAGCTAGGGCAACAGTAGAGAACAAGGAGAGCTCAGGAACCTGGGAAGTGGAGGAAGGAGTTTGAAGAAGAGGGTGGTGAGCAGGTTTGTGAAGGGGCTGAAAGGGTGAGGATGGAGGGGGACACTGGCCATCTCTGAGAGAACCCTTCCTGGACAGTGCTGAGGGTCAAAGCCAAACCACAAAGCATTCAAATGTAAGTGGGAGTAATTAATGCCACAGAGTGGTACATTTCAAAATGGTTACAATGGCAAATTTTATGTTATATTTTGCCACAAAAAAGTAAATGGGAGGACAATGCTAACATCATAAAAAATCCTGTTGTTCTCTACACTTTTCTCTCTGTTTGAAACATTATCATAATAAATTGCTTTGAAAAGTAAGTGAAAAAAGTAAGTGGTGAGTCAGAAATGGAAGGAGCCATACAGACTACTCTTGGGAGAAATTTGATGGCTAAGTGAAGGGGCAAAAGGATGGTGGCACACCTTGAAAGTGTCCCGGGAGAGAAAGAATTCATTTTTCTTTTGATGAGGCAAAAGAACATGTGTCTAGGTTGAGTGTGAGGATCCACAGGGAAAGCGAGAATGTAGATGGGGTGGCTGTGGGTTGGCCCCACATGTCCAAGCCCCTGGGACTGGGAATGTGACCTTACCTAGAAGGAAGGTCTTTGTAGATGTAATTAATTAAGGATCTTCAGATGAGATCATCTGTATTATCCAGGTGGGCCCTGATTCCAACGACAAGTGCCCCTGTGAGGGACAGAAGGGGAGAAGACACAGAGAGAACTTGAGAAGGCCATTTGGAGACAAGGATGGAAGTGACACAGACCAAAACCCCTGGCATCACCCAGAGTTGGAAGGGGTAAGGAAGGATTCTCCCCTGGAGTCTGTGGAGGGAGCGCGGCACAGCTGCCATCTTGATTTCAGACTCCTCCCCTCTGGAACTGTAAGAGAACACATTCTGTCATCTTAAGCCACCACATTTGTTGTGGTTCTTTGTCACAGCAACCCTAGGAAACTAATTGGGAGGGCAGGGCCTTGACCACAGTCTGAGGTCCTGCAGCTCCTAGGACTGTGTCTCAGGCTCCTCAGTCCTCCACATCCCACTGGGACCAAAACTAGATGCTCAGTTATTATGAATTTAATAACTTTGGACTCAAATTAGCAGGATAGGATTTCACTCAAAGAAATAATTTTGTCTTTATATTTTCCTTTTCTGTCCCCACTGGATTTTAGAAAATCAATGAAGATTTCAGTACCGATGTCTTTCTCCATCATTTAAGCCAAGACTGTGGAGCCCACATGGCCCCAGGGATTATGAGGGAGATCTTTCCTGGGAGCCACACCTCCTGCTCTTGCACCCAGGCCAAGTGACGAGAGGGTCTGTGACCCAGCTGGGCAGCAAGTGGCAAAGGAGAGAGCCGTCTCCAGGCCCCATCCTCGTGACTGCTGTGCGAACAAGCTGCTGATTTAGACTGTCCTTCTAAATTCCAGTGACAGAGAGGGCTGGCTCTCCTCAGAGGGTCGCAAGGGGTTGGCTCTCAGCAGCCAGGAGACAGGACCAACCAGGGGACCTCAGGGTAATGTGCCCTTGGGAATGGAGGCCCCCAGCTTTCCCCTGGCCCTGCTGGACTTCCTGAGTGGAGATTGGAGCTCGGGCAGAGACCCCCGCCTCCAGGACAGGTCTGAGGGTCTATTCTGAGGGAGTAGTTCTTGGTCTGGGGAGGGCTGATGTGGCCGCCCTCCCTTCTGTGCCCAGAAACAGTTTTTCCTTGGGGACTTTCAAAGCTTGAGGACTTCCAGGAGCTGTCCCCATCCTCCTGTGCTCCAGTGTCTGCCAGCCACAGGGATAATCACTGGGCAGAAGGGTCTTGGGAGAGACCGTGGCAGGGCAGGGCAGGGCCACACTCATCTGGCTCTGAGTCACCAGCACTGTCACTTCCTGGTGCCCCAGACCCAGCCACTCAAAGTCATGGTGTTGCCCTTCTCCTTGGTCTCCCCCAGCTAGTGAGGCTCCAAGTCCTTTGCTTCTTTCTTGCGTCACGTACCTCTGTCCTTCCTTCTCATGCCTGCTGGTCCAAGTGTCCTCATGTGGAACTTCTGTCTTTGTCTCTCCCGGACTGTCCACTCCTGCTCAGTTGCCAGGTCTCGGTGCTTGCCCACTGTGTGCAAGGCCACCCCCGACTCCCGGCCGCACTCAGAGCCTCGGTAGCCTGCCCCCGCCCCGCCCCGCCCCCCAGAGCGCCTGGTCCCTGGGCAAACCTCCGGCTCTGGCCGTACTGGGTTATTGTTTCCTCCCTGCCGCCTCATTCTTGCCTCCAGGCTCTTGCTCTTCCTGTTCCCTCCACCTGGAATGCTGACTCCAGGGATCTGCCATGTACTCCTTTCACACCCAGTCTCCCACTTTCTCCTTAAAGCCGTTTCCACTTCCATCGGGCGGCAGAGCCCGTTTCGCACGCAAGCTTCTTTCCTGCGCAGCGTTACCCTCTCCGGTGCTCAACCACCTTTCACCTGGGACAGTCCCTGCGTGCGTGTGCACTCCCTTTCTTTCTTCCTCACGTTTGCTCAGGAAAATATGCGATGTACTTATCATGTGCCAGGCCCTAGAATATAAAGATGAGTCATACCTAGTCCCTGCTTTCTAGAAGCTTCTGGGGGTGGTGTGTATGCTGGGTGCCTCCCACTGGCTCTTCCAGACCCATCCTCTGCCCTGCTCATGCCTTGGGTAAAAAGGCCCAAAGCCAAAACAAGCAAACCGGCCCCCATATAACCGACCAGACAGCTTGGGGCCTGGCAGTGCCGGGGCAGAGCTGGCAGGAGCAGGGCGGAGGCTGACCTGCGTGGCGCCATCCACGGCCCCATTGCCCTCGGCTTCTAGAGGGCACCGCCTGGGGAGCCCCAGCAGGAGAACAGAGATGGGGGTGGCAGAGGCTGGATTCCCCTGCCTCTTGCCGCGGGGTCGCCCTGTTGGCTGTGTCATGGGTCCTGTTAGTTCCCGCTCTGCTCTCTCTCTCTGGAGCCAGTGACCATGGGTTCCCTTTACCCTCAGGCTCACCGGCCCCACACTTTTGCAAACAGTGCCTTTACCAAAGTCCCCCACGTGTCCACCTGTGCCACTGCTTTCCTGCCTAGGCCCTGACTGGTGCCCTGTCCCAGCGAGAAGTTGGAGGACGTGCACAAAAGTGCTGCAGACAAGAGAGACTGCACACACCCTGTAGCTTGCACACAGCCAGAGGCCTGTGCACACAGTGGGCTTTTATGTCTGCAAAAGAAACTTTACTCTTTCTAATTGAACCCATATCCTACTCTGCTTCCCACGTGGAGCATTTCATCATTTCAGGATGACCAAAGTAATTAAAAGAAAATTTTTAAAGTCTGCTTTACTGAAGAGCTTCTGGCGAAGACCTTTGAATCTGTGCCCCTGAGGGCTGCAGGGCAGGACTCCAGCTGGGTAGTGTAAGCCTTGCTGTCCTGACGTGGGTGGCAGTTGCTAGAACAGGGACTGTTTCGTTTCATTAACAGAGTGAAGCATGCTGTCAGCAGGCGGCAGAGCCACGGGACAAGAGGCAGCAAACAGCCCATCCCAGCCACCATCAAGCTCTTTCTCCTCAGGGGGTCTCCAGGAGAAGGTGTTACTCAGACAAGGGGAGCCCCTGCAAGAGGAATTATGCTGAAGTCAAAATAAAGTGTTCTAAAAATTCAGCTGCCATAGAACTGCTCCGGAGCAGAGTTCACATCCAGAGGGGCTGTCGCGGACTCCACCCAAGAGGTTTAGTTTTTAAAGAGCCTAAAGGATTCCCAGCGTATCTCTGGGGTGAGCACGAGAGTCAGAGCCCACAGGATTAGACCATACGATGAATGCCTTAGCACCCTGCTTAACCAGCATTTAACAGAAATGAAAGATTGCTCCTCTGGAGCAGACGTGTCTAAGAGGCAAACCTTTCTTAAGCCCCATTAATGTACAACCTCAATCCACAACTGGATTCAATTACTGCGTTGAAAGAAAGGCATTTTCTCATAAAGCCGCTCTGTTTCCGTGCCTGGCCGCGAGCGGGCTCGGCCACGACAAAGACAAGCCTGTGTGTTGTTTTTGGTTGTTTGTCTTTTCAAGCTCTTCCCCTGGCACTGCCAGGCCCCAGGCTGTTTGGATCAGTTGTGCGGGAGCCAATTTACTTGTTTTGGCTTTCAGCCTTTCTGTTCAGCGCCGACAATAGACGAGCAAGCCGGTGACTTGCGTGGCCAGTGGTGCCGATGGGCTGCACAGCATGATTCAGTGGTCGCACCGTGACGAAGTGCCCTTAGGGGCAGTATTTGTGAGGAAAGTCAACATTCTGAGGCAGGGGCATGGGAGAAATCATAGGGGGCTGGCACACGTGGGTCTGTTCTCAAATATTAATAACAACATATGGAGCACTTACTATGTCTAGGCTCTCTTACATACATCAACTCATTTAATCCTCCCAACGATCCTCTGAAATGTTATTATTGTACCTACCCACTTTACAGATGGGGAAATTGAGGAACAGAAATGTGACACAATTTGTCCAAGGTTACACAATTAGTAAGTAGCTCAGGGCCCACACTTTTGATCACTACATTGTCAAAGAATGTGGTGCAAAAACTTTAAAACCAAGGTATTGGCATTTATTCAGCTCTTAAACATTTTTACAGTATTCTTAATTCATATTTTCCTTAACACACCTGAAAGACATACTTTCATTATTGTGTGTATGTGTTTGAAGTCACAAGACTGGAGAGACCCATTTGGTCCAGCCTGTCTTGGGGCAGACAAGACTATATATATTCTTATATGTAATATAAAATCATTATATTTTATATATATATATATAACATATATACTTTCCAGACAATATCCAGCCATGTAATGATGTTCTCATTTTATATACACATATATACACATACATATGTATATATATTCTAGGGTCTGGCACATAATAGTAATGACTAATGTGGAAAGCCAGTGGCTTTCATAAAAGATACTGTATAAAAGGAAGTTAAGAACCAGCTTGCTTGGCTGTCTGATCATCAGCCCAGGCTTCCTACATGAGCTTGGCCCTGTGATAGGAAAATCCAGGGTCCAGGCCTGCAATGAACATATGTATGGCCCAAGATCCACCCATCAGCTTAACTTACTGTGACAGTTATCAATTTGTTGCTTCTCAGCTCCAAATTCACCCTTCATTACTTGCTCTGAGAGAATGGACATGGCCCCTGTAAGCAGTTCTCCTTTGCTGCTAGTGTGGGTTAAGCTTTGTCGGGAGGGGCTGCTGGAGGGACATTGTGAGAGGAGGGGGCTTCTCTTCCCAGTGCCAGGGGCCTTACTTTGTCAGGCTCCAGCAGTGCACACAGCTTTCCCTGAAGCTTCAGGGGGCCAGCAGCATGTGATGCCTTCCCGTGGGCAGCTTCCTGGGCACCTCCTCAGGAGTGGCCTCTGCCAGAACCTCCTCAGGAGGCTTCGCAGTAGAGTGCCAGAAGGGGGATACCTCCCCTTCGATTACTTCCCTGGCACCCCCTTGGACAGCTTTGCAGTGGATGGCTTCCTCAGCACTCCAAAGAGAGGGTTTCTGGAATGTCTCAGCAGTGAGGCTCCTCGAGAACTTTTCCACCTTCCCAAGAGTTCCTGCCAGCCCCTCTCCCATGAGGTCTGGATTTCAGCCCTGGGAGAAGGGGGCCTCTTCCCCGAATGCTCTGTCTCAGCTCTAGGGAAGATAGCTGCTCTCTGCATCTGCCATTCCTGTATTCTTTAGAGCTCTTTTTGCCTTTTAGTAGCCAATCTCTCATTATTCCAATCCCCTGTTAATAATTCTTTATTGTTAACTTTCCTTGTAGAAATTACTGTGTGATTCCTGTCTCCTGTTCAGACTCTGATACATTCTCTATTTTTTCAATCCACCATTTTAAATAAGAATGTAGCCCCCTTTTTATGGACAAGCAAACAAGAATCCTGGAAACAATAGGAACAATATAAAAACACTTTCATTGTAAATTTACTAATAAATTGGAAGATTCTATATTCTCTTTCAACCCCTAGCTTTCTATCTGCCTGATTCTTACATAGTTATAAGTCTTATGCATAACTGAGTCTGTATCAGTTGGCGTTAGTTCACATAAGCAGTTCGATGGCCTGTAATCCACATGTAGCCACTGTGCATATAGTCCTTGCATTTTTCATCAGTTATGATAAGGTAATATTCCCTTTTCTTCATATACTAAAATTTGCTAAGCTAGTTCCTGATTATTGGATACTTGGGTTGGTTCACACTTTTCCGTATCATAAAAAGCACAGATTAAAATATCTTTGTTCAATTTGCATCAACCCCATTTAATTTTTCCTCCTTTCTTCCTTTCTCAGTTCTTTAACAGCTGGGCTCACTCATCTTCTCACCGACAGACAAGAGATTATTGGAAAAGGGGTGAGAAATCCAGGGAGAATGTCTGCATAAGAAAGAGGGTGGAGATTTTAACTGAGCTAAAGGCTTCAAGAAGCAGCAAGTCCCAACTCAGAAAGTATCTCCTGCCAGGAATAGAACCAGTCTCAGAGATGGAAGCGGGGGTGAGGGGATAATTGGTCGGGGTGGAGGAAATAAGAGTTGGGAAGCAAGGTCATTCCAGAGATCAAGATTGTCTTTTCTTGAGTCTCTCATATTATAACCTGTGACTAATGCA